ATATGTCGCCTGTGAAACCACCATTGAAATCAAGTTATAAAAGGATCCAAAAACAGCCTTCCCTCGGACACATTTTTTCAGTTCCTTTTCTGCCTGGTCAGTCAGTTTTTGACTTAAGTCAGAACGCAATCAAGAACTCTGACTTGCAGCACTTCACTATTCATAAAATATGAACCTTAATGGATACAGAACTGGCCAGGAAAGAGGGTAAAAGAGCATTTCTCCTTATGCCAAAGTCTTCAGGCAAGCACATTCAGATTAGACTTTCTTTTTCCTTTGGAGTACGGGGTTTGAACTCAGGGCTTCACAACCGCTAGATAGGCGATTTACTGCTTGAGTCATGCCTCCATCCCAGGACTTGCTCTTCTTAAATGTGATACAACTTTTCCATTTCAAAAGTACCTAAAAGATGATGTTTTTAAATTATAAAATCCTAATTCTGAATGTCATCCTGTGGCCTGAAAACTAAATTATTTTCAGGTGCCATAGCACTACTGTTTCTTTAAGACCCCTAATATAAAGCTACACATAATGTGGAATTTTCCCAAGACAGTTATATGGTATATGGTATTACTTTAACAGATGTGCAATGAAGTCTTCCTGCTTTTCTGACAGTAGCAGCAACTCTACAAGCATCATCACCAGGTACAGAAGTACTTGCATTACTAGTTAACAGAACATTATAAAGTATTTTGACAACTACTGCATAATGATATCTAAAACAAGGAAGTCATTTTAAAAGTATGACGAAGTCATTTCAGTTTCATTTGATGGCAACTCCCTTCAGCTGCTCAGGCCTTACTCTTTTCACAGTCCACTGGCAGATTCTTTTGGCTCCTACTTCAAAATTTAGCCATAATATAACAATTTCTCACCATCTCTATTGTTTCTCTGATCTGAATGACTTCTATCCTAAATTACTGCAAAACTGGATTAACTGTTGCCAAATAGGGGAATGCCTTTGACGTTCTGAAAGACAATGTTTTAACACAAGTTTGCAGGACCAGTCAAAATGAAGAATGGAGAAGAAATTAAGACCTGGTCAGGCCTGCAAGGACTCAGTATCTCCCATGTGCCCCCCCCCCGCCCTTTTTTTTGTGGAGGGAGGAGTTGGGAGCACTTGCAAATATACTTTAGCAAAGTAACAACAAAAAAATTAAAGAGTGAGATCAAAAGAACTGTAGAACAGAGGGGTACAAAGAAATTTTAACCCAATATGATTGCTAAAAATCACTGTCTAAATTTGATAAAGTTGGGCTAGAGGTGTAGCTCAAGTGGTAGAACACCAACTAGCAAGCATGAGCCCTAAGTTCAAACCCCAGCACAGCCAAAAATAAAAGGAAAATTTGATGAAATTAAGAAGCATAAAATGATCTGAGTTATGGTAAAGAAGATATTTTTATTGTCAAAGAAAAATAAATTTTAAAATGTACTTCAAGTATCCCAGTATGAGAACTGAAAGCACTCTGAACAAATTTGGTGATTGAAAGTATGATCTAAAGAGTGGTAGTAAGCTGGCACCAGTTGCTCACACCTGCAATCCTAGCTACTCAGAAGGCAGAGATCAGGAGGATCGCGGATCAAAGCCGGCCCTGGCAAATAGTTTGCAAGACCCTATCTCAAAAAAAAAAAAAAAAAAAAAAAACCTTCACAAAAAAGGGCAGGTGGAGTGGCTCAAGGTATAGGCCCTGAGTCCAAACTCCAGTACTTAAAAAAAAAAAACAACTTGTAGTAAATAACTTTTCTTCTGTCAAAATTTTTTTTAAAGTAATTACATACTACAGGAAAAATAAAAATTCTGCAAAAGCCATGACCCACTTATGAAGCAAGTAACACATGGTATAATTTGAAAGAAGAGAGTTCATGCTTGGAACCTTTTGTTTAAACCTGCATAGACTTAAAGATGTAAGACTGGATAAGTGGAAGGAGAAACAGCTCCTGGCTTTCCTCTGTGTACCCTTATATAGTCTAGCACTACTCCTAATCATTGGTTTGCAGGTTTTAGAATCAATATATAAAGGGAAAACATAGTTCAAGTATGGATCCCCCAAATAATAAACCTCTAAGAACACTGATCAATGAACTACAGGTCTAACAATAGCAGTCAGGATGGTAAGGCTGTAATGAGCTGGATGGGAAGTATGCAGTGGCCATTTCCTCAACAGTAGGGAGCCAGGAGACTCCCGACCACTAAAATGATGGCTTAAGAAACAAACTACTACTTAAAGTTATGAAGGAAACCAAGAGAAGAACCAGGCTGGTGGAGTGGCATGAGGTCCTGGGTTCAAACCCCAGCAGCTTTGGAAAAGAAAAAAGACCCAGAATATAACTAACCAAACTGGTGAGGAGGAAAGGCATGAGATAAACTGCTTATCACTCACAGTGGACAACCCACAGGCATTGCTTAAATGATGAGTCCAGAACAGGAACAACAGATGCACTGTCACCTCTGAGAAGGGGACTGGTGAGGACCGTGGGGAGGAACGCTTTTACTTTTCATTTTCTATCCATTTGAATTGTTTAAAATTTTTACTCAAGTACACTCAAGATCATGCTCTAAAGGTAAATTTGTCTTTAATCCTCAAAAGCATCAGAACTGGCAGCTCAGAAAGGAATAATGGTTGTCTGTGTAGTAACACCCCAGGAAGTTCCAAAGAGCAGGTATAAAAAGTCAAAGGAAAAAAAAAAAAAAAAGACAGGTGTAGTGGCTCATGCCTGCAATTACTCAGGAGGCAAAGATTGGGAGGGTTGTGGTTCAAGGCCAGTCCAGGGAAAAGTTCATGAGACCCCCATCTCCACCAATGGCTGAGTACAGTGTTATGAGCCTGTCATCCCAGCTAGGCAGTGAAGCACAAATAGGAGGGTCATGGTGCAAGACAGTCCAGGCATAAAACGAAACCCTATCTCAAAAAACCAAAGCAGAAGGGTTAGTGGCATAGCTCCAGTGGTAGAGCACCTGCCTTGAAGGTCACACAGCAAGATCCTGTCTCAAAAAAGAAAGAAAGGAAACACAAACAAAAACCCAAAAAAAGAATTGAAGTAAAAGGTCTCAAAGTAAAGGAATTTAAACTTATTCAGCACGAGAGAAAATAAGAGCATCAGTAAAAGAAAGGTATGCAGAGCTAGACTGAGAGCACTTGCCTAGAATGCACCGCCAGCACCGAGTTGCACTTACAACTCAGCAATTTAGACAACAAAACATGTTTAGAATTCTCTATTAAGATGGCAGAGATTAGCTTTAAACTGTTCTCAGCCAAAACAAGATAAGTATGGTCCTTAACATATTTTAGACTCTAGAAAATTCAATTTTAGACAAATGTTATTACATATACCTATGGAATATATTTAAGAAGAATATTAAAATAAGTGATCCTTAAAATCATTATGATAATCAATACCAGGACACTAATGTTATAATCTTTTAATAAATTTTTACAATTCTGGAACAAGTTATTCATACAACATCCATGACACAGCAAACAAAAGGAAGACAACTGAGATGGTCTCTTTACAAAACTTTCTCAAAAGCACTTTGTTCTGACATACTTTGTTGTGACATACACCTGTCACATATTCTTTTGGTATTCTAAATTGTTACACAAAGCTTTAAAGAATGAAAGTTTCATATAAAAAATAGTTATCTTTTTTTATCAGTGGGCTTTCAAATTAAATAACTAAATCCTCTGTATACCAATGTACATTGCATAGAAATGGTTACATTCAATATTTTAATATTTAGAAAAACATTAAGAAGTCAGTTTTTTAATGGCTGTTATGCCTTAAAGTTGATAATTCAAATTTTATTTATAATTTTAAAATTATACATTCTGTAGGTATAAAAATTTTTTAAAATACATTCAATTTTAAAAAGCTTTCTCAATTTACATTTTCACACTGCTATGATTGCTATAATAACTAGCTGTAAATATATTTAGCCAAAATAAGTTAGTTTTTAAAAATCAATAACACAGTATGCTGGCAAGATGATTTCTTTCAAAACAAATAGAGTAATTATAACGCCGGTGTTCTAAATGCACTACAACAAATAAATACTTAATATGTCACAGAATACAAAAATCCACAGACTAGATGGAGGCTTTAAAAATCTAAGACACTAGTGCAGAAATCTGGGCACTTGGTCCCTTAATGAGTTAGAGGACTTCAATTTAAAAGACAAATTTCCACAGGGGCTATTATGACTGTCTAGCCATCAAAAAAGGAAAGGCTGTTATCTCTATTCAGATGCTTCTAGTGTGTTTTTATTCAAGTGTTCAAATGTAACCTCTCCTTTGACTTAAATGTTCTTTCCCTGAAAAAGACATTTATAAGCTAGTAATTTTGGCCTCATGACATACGTATTTTAAAGAAGGCATTCGATTCTATGGTCAACCCTCCCCTCATCCTGATGCCTATACATATGTGCGTTATAAATATATACATATTTCCAGGATTATAAAAATAGTTAATTTTACAAGCTTAAATAATTACATGTTAATCCAGAATACATTAATATTTGTATAATTTTACTTTTATTTATAAAAGGGTTTTCCTATAGCAGCATTTGCATTGCAAATGAAATGTGACCAAATGGTGTAGCAGGGTACAGGGAATGCTACTGCAAATCACGCTGAGCAGTTGCACCGTTCCTCTCAAAGGGACATCGGTCCCAGCTCAGAAGATCAGCTCTTATAAAGCACAGAACCATGAGGAGTTAGTAACTTACCCGAACCTTATGAGTGCATTTGAGTCATCTCCATAGAGTTGGCAAGGTTTATTAAAATACCCCCAAAAGTCCAAGTTACCTTTATTCCCAGAGAAATTTTCTAATGAGATAAATAGAATTATGTTAATAAAATGTTTTCAATTGAATCACATGAACTTATTAGAAATTAATCAAAGGTTTCAGGAGTAAAAAAATAAAGACTATGAGAGGTATAAGAAAGTAAGAAGGACTGATTTGAAACTTTAAGACATTAAAAACCAAACAAAATCTCTCAACATCAGACACTCATATTAACCTTGTTTTTGTTGAGCTCTCGCTCCAGGTTGCCAATCAAAGTATCAATACTTTCTTGTAGATCTTTGAGATTAACTTTGTGATCCACTGTGGACTCAATTGTCTGCATTGTCAAGTATGTCTGAAATGTGCATTCTTTGGACATGGGAACTGGCTGTTCAACCATCATTTCTGGCCCATCTATTTTGCTATAATCGTCTCCATTTTCTTTACCTTCTGAAGGTACAGCATCACAATCCACATCATTTAAAATTTCCTTTGTATTTAAAAAGTAGTTCTCTCCGCAGCTGCTCCAGTCTCCTGCATAACGATTGCTAAGTGGACTACCTAATCTGGTCTGCCGTGGCCTTAGCACTCCTGAAGAATCAGTACCACTCAAATTTAACATGCAAGGTCGCTCTTTCTTCCGCCTCAAGTAATTCAGAGAAGACACCTGCTCTGGGGACAAACTGTCTGTTGCTTCTTTGACAGTTAAACGTTGCACTAGAAACAAACAATAAATTTGCTTTAGTGATAATAACCCTACTGGTCTTAAAAAAAATTTTAAAAAGAGCTAAAGATAACTAAAGATAGGCAATTTAATAATCAACTACAAACATGCATTAAAACAAAAACATGCACACTATCAAAAGGAAGCATTCCATAATTATTTTTTCTACCACCCATATGACCCAGATATAATCAAGATTAGGAATAGAAGCCAGAAGAATGCTCAGTGGTGCTAATTCATGCCATATCATAACATCCCCAAATAAAAAGACATTTCAATGTTGATTAACTCTCTGCGCAAGTTAATTATTATTTAGATAATTCAAATAGTAGCTAAGCTGGTAGTTTCTCCTAAATTAAAGGCTAGAGCAAGAAGCAGGCAAGGCATGTTGGTGTACAAACAAAATGAAACACAATGTTCCTTTGTCTGCAAACATCTCAATGAGGCAAACACATCTAAAGCTGTTACTCTAAAAGTTCTGACTTTAGTGGGCTTTTTTTTTTGTTTTCGCAATTAGCAGCAGTGTCATAATTTACCAAGCAGCCCAAATTTCACTGGGATAAAATGCATGAATACTAGACTTGACCATGTGTTGTTACCTGAGTTTGATTATACAGCATTAGCTACTAAGTCTTCATTTATTGCCTGGAAATAGTACAGACATTTTATTTTCCCATTCTGGTTAGACATTTAGCAATCCCAATAACATTCCTCATATTAAGACTATTTTCTTCTGAGCTAAGACATATCAGATCTTCTGGCATTGTGGTGTCATACAGAAGATTAACATAGAGACACATAAGGCTTCATGGCAAACCAAGGCTTTCCTGCTTACTGTGAACAAAATATTTACCTAAGGGATCTTCTATATATAAAATAAGCTTAATTTAAAATGCTGAGTTATTAAAGATTATCCTTAATACCTTTCTGTTTCTGCTTGTTTATTCTGTTAATAAGTGCCTCTCCTTTTACAGGTCCCTCACTAAGATAAAGGGAACATAAGTCAGTGATAACACACCAACTTTACAACACATAATAAATGCTTGTTTACTTGTACAAAATAAGACAACTGAAAAACTATACAGAGTTCTAGTTTTTTAGACTTACAGTGATATTCATAGCACTTGTCAGAGACCACAAATTTTTTAACTTGTATTTTATATATTTAACTTATATTTCATGTTTTAGTAATTGTGTTTGGTACATTCATTAACATTTTTATCTATGTCATTTATTATGGTTATTACCTATCAGAGATAACTAAAAAGGCTTCATTTAAAATTTTCTAGAAAATAAAGGTCAGATGCTTACTTTAAATTGGTCTATAATGCCACAGCTTCAACAGAGAATGTTTCATGTTATTAACTGATGTAACTGCAGAATGGATTGCTGCCTCTCCTACTGTTTCATTATTCATATTCCTTTTTCTCCACTATCTCCTTGCGTTTTACCCTTCATTCATTCTCTGTGCTCTTTGTGTTCTTGTGTGTTTAACTGTTAGGCTTGTTCTTTTTGCCAGTCAATTTATAGTACACTGATAACCATAAGGTCATCTGGTGTGAACCAACCACGTATCTTTTGACTCTGTGTTTTAACCTTATCTTACATCCTCATTTTCGGCATCCACCCTATGTAAAGTCCACGTTTTTAATTTTTATTTTACCTTAATGTTTATTTATTAATTTTTGTAGTACAGGGGATTAAACTCAAGGCTTTGAGCTTGCTAGGCAAATACTCTAACATCTGAGTCACACCTTCAATCCTCCACATTTCTTTTGTTGCAAATTTTTTAAAACTTTTTAACCAAGATTCTATTCAAATACTATTTCTGTATAATTTCCTTTAAAGTATTTAAGAAACCAATTAAAATGACATTTTATATATTTTTACACTAAAAATTCAATTTCTGAAAAATCATCGTCACTGCCTTTTGAAACAAGTGATGCTAGAATGGTTTTCTATTATATATGCAAAGGAAATAGCCAATGTTCACCCCAAAAGGTCTGGTAATCCCACCGTTGATTACCCACTTCCAAAAGAAGAGCTTCCTAACTCTTATAATAAAATATAGGGATTTTAAAAAGTGACATTTAATCATCAAAAAACTGAAATTAAAAAAATGCAGTCAATAAGGCTACTGAAAATTTTCAAACTGCAATGCTAAGTACTAAGAAATTAATTTCTTCCTTGGGATGCAGAAGCATGAGGATCATAAGTTCGAAGCCAGACTGGGCAAAGTTAAAAACTAAACATAAAAGAATTAAGGGTGTGGCTCAAGTGGTAGAGAGCTTGCCTAGCAAACTCGAGACTCTAAGTTCAATCCCCAGTACCACAAAAATAATAATAATTTTCTTTACTTAGGGAAAAATTTATACCATTTCCAAAAAATTAAAAACCTGCCTCAAGTCTACACAATACAGAGGACGTGGTATAGCAGTTGTCCTCTTTCTAAACTTATTTCCCCATCTGCAAAGTGAAAGGGTGGCCACTTGGGAACTTTCAGTATTCTTCTTTAAACAGCAAAACCATTTTTTAAAGGAAAAAAAAAAAAAACCCTGTGAAACTTCAACACATAAAACAAAACATGAAAAGAAGACTGTTTCAGTGAAAAGGGAAGTGTGCGTCCTTTGTTCCCCGACTTCCTGCCAATGTGGCCCAAAGCCACTTGCAAAGAACCTCAGCTTGGTGGGAGACGACCTAAGTAACTACTGAAGTGTGATTTTTTTACCTTCTAGTTCTGATATTGAGGGTTTTTCCTTGGAAAGACAAGATTTCTTTTCAAAAAGAAATCTCAAAGCAAATTATCTTCTTGCCCAAAATGAAAGCAAAAACAAAAATGATGCACAACAAAAGGTTTAGATAGTAAAAAAGGAAGTGCTATGTATAACTCTTCATAGCGCTGGAGTAGAGAAAATCCCACAAAGAAACCTACTGGATGCATGGGGACAGGCATTCACTGAGGTGACCCATATGACCCACTCTCCACATTCTCTGTGTCACCATCAATTTTTCTCAGGCTCAATAACTATACCACATTTACTTGATTTCTGCCTTGTCTTAAATCAAAAGCAGGTAATTTAGGGGGCAAAACTATTATTTCCTCTGATCCTTCGGTCCTGTTTTGTCCTTTGTCTGAGGTACTTTTAAAGAAGGAACGGTTGTTTTTTAAAGTAACAACAAAAAAAATCTTTGGAATAACAGTACAGTTATTTCAGATTTTTCTTAAACTACAGTCAAGGGCTGGGGGCTTGACTCAAGTGGTACAGTGCTTACTAGGTAGGTCCTGAGTTCAAATCCAGGCACCACAAAAATAAATAAATTAAGTCAATAAATAAATGTCAATATGAAATCTGAACCTGCTCTTTCTATAACAGATAAAAGAAATTAAGTTTCTGCCCCAAACCCAAAACTAAGGTGGCAATAACCAAATAATGAAATGGCATTAACCTCTGATACACACTTAATGACAAAGAATTCAGGAGCTAACTTATTCACTATAGGGGTAAGTTTTCATTTGTGATTATGAGAGGTGGTTCCTCTTCCAATTATTGCTGTTTACTAAAATTAAAGCACTTCTAAAAACATCAGGAAACACACATTTAAAACATTGTGCTGAGAAAACCAATTGCAGAAATTGGCCCAGTTCTTCAGAGAATCTTGATTCAGGCTTTTCTTTATTTTTTTGGCAGTACTGGGGGTTGAACTCAGGGCCTCTTGCTTACTGGTGCTCTACCACCGGAGCTATGGTGCCAGCCCTTGATGGAGAGTTTTTTTCCAACAACTAATAATAAATTCAAATTCAGGTAAAATATAAATTAGAAAAAATTTTTAAACATGTATAAAATTTTAACTTTGCAAATTTTAAAGATAAAGGTTTTTATTAACTCACTTTTTAAAATTAGATTTATTTAAAAAGACTAGATCAAGTATTCCTTTGCACCTCCCATTAATGATGAATTAGCTAATCACCATTCTTTTAATGATTAGCTAATTCAGACACTCTACCATTGAAAAATATTTCCATAGAACCATTTACCTGGCCAGAGTTGGAGTAAATAATGAAGAACTTCAATATGTTTTTTAAAATCCAAAGCACTTGCAAGTTCTTCGGAGTCAGTAAAGACTCTGTTGTTATGGGTGGAAGTCTCTTGCCTTTGACTTAATAACACTGGTCCAAAGCACACAGCCAAATTCTGGCAGGTCATTTTATTCACTTCATGATAAGAAGCCACCAATTTCAAATGGTCCAACAACATCTTTAGGGTTGCCTAAATGAAATGAAATTCCACTTAACATATTTATACAGGGGTAGATACAAGGGCACAATTTGTGATAGCATATACAGATAGGCATTCTGTCACTTTAGAGGGTTGTTTCAAAGGTTTGCTTATAAGTTGGACATTTGGAACCTATTTTCTTATAGAAACATTCAGAGGGCCTGCATTACATTCTAACATAGTTTAATCCACTTGATGGCTATAATACAATTTCTTTGTAAAATGCTTATGAATACATTTCAAATTTCAATGCATCATCAACTCTCCCTGCTCTAAAATGGTAACAGTAAGACTGTGACAGAGAGCTCATTTTCAGTGGTTGTAAGTAAGGGACTGCCAAACTAAGGAAGCCTTACCATTCACAACATGGCAGATCTATAATGATTTATTATGAAAGATATATTTAAAGCTTAGTGTGCTTCTTAACTAATAAAAATTTTAAGCAGACAAAACATGGAAAAGGTTAGAAGTAAAAGAAAAAATTACTAAAATTTTTTTTTTTTTTTTTTGGTTTTTGGCTTTCTTGGGGGGAAGAGGGGCTTTTTTGAGGCAGGGTCTCACTATGCAGCCCAGGCTAGCCTCAAACTTGAGATCCTCCTGCCTCCCACTCCCAAGTGCTGGGGTAGGCATGTGGCACCACACCAGCTTTTGAAAAAAGAAAGTCCTTTCTAATCCTTGTAGACACTAGTTAGAGGAGTTGGCTAAAGAAATGGAATAGTTATTTAGGCTTAAGTACTTACAGAAAGGAATAATGTTTTTTGAAGTAGTGGCATATGATCAATCATGTAAAAATGAGTTGTAATTTCTTCTTTATGAATTGTGTTGGAGAAATGAGTGCCAATTAAAAACAATAATTTAACTGGGTGTGGTGGCATACACCTATAATCCCAGTTCGGGAGAGAAGGATGAGGAAGGAGAATTGAGAATTCGAGGCAAGCCTGGGTTGCATAGCAAGACCCTTAAAAGAAAAAGAGAAAAAAAGATTAAAAAAAAAAACCTGACACTCATTTTAAAAAGGAAGTAGCATTTATCATTTTGCTTAGTGTGGGGAAGGAACAGTCTCACCTCTTTATTCATCTCCTCCGCTTCACCCCACTCTGTGCTTCTGTATTCCTTTGCTGTTCCCCTCCCTCACCCTAAGGAGGAGTCTAACTGGAGAGAGCACAGACACTTAGGGATCACCATTAGCTAGCGAATGGCTCAAAGTTTCTCACCCACTCATCCTTGCACATTTTGCCCCCACATGATAAGAAATGCAGCAAAGTCAGCATCCTCTGGACAAACCCAGTCAGATCTTTCTGTAATTCTCCCCACAATTTTAATGAACAGCAGCTAATGTTAGGCTGAGGCTGTTTCTGCAGACCAGCTACCCTCTGTCTCTCCTGCAGGCATACCTGAGCACACGGGTGCAAACTTCAACTTTGTGAGAGGACAAATGGGAAGAGGAAGAAGGAAACAAATGAGGTAGGGGTTGCTTAAGTCTTTGTTTTTTTGGTGATACTGAAGGTTGAACTCTGGAACTCACGCTTGTTAGGCAGGCACTCCACCATTGGAGCCACTCGGCCAGCCATGCTTAAGTCTTAAGGCTAAGTAAGCCATACACTCCAAATTAGTTGTCATATTTTAAAAATATTACAAAGACTAACACCAAAATGTTAATTATAGCTACCTTTAGATAATGATGACTACAATTTTTCATTCTTTTTTCAATTTCTCAATTTTTTATAATAAACATTTTAATAATATAGTAATTATACACTTTAAAAAAACTGGTAGACCAACTTCTAGATTTATGCCATTTACGAAGTGATAAAGGCAGAGCTTAAGCCCATGAGTGCCACAAATGGCAAAGACCTAAAAAACTTTTTGTAGCTCTGGAGCTAAGGATATAACTCATTAGCTGGCTTTCAGGAAAAATGTACACCAATTACACTTACCTTCTCAACACTGGGCAGACAATTCAGCAGGTCAACAGTGTACTGAGAGTCACTTGGGTCATTCTCACATCCGTTTGATGACATTTTCAAAGGGCATTTTACCATTGCATCTAATACAGACTCATAAAGCTGCTTTGTTATCAGAGGGGAAGGAAGTTCTCTTAAAAAATCCTTAAGAACACCTATACAAAACAAATCAGGGACAGGTGGTCATGAATCTTCAGAGTGAAAAAAAGATCTATGGTGTTTGTTTTTTTTTTTTTTTTTTTTGTGGTGGTGGTAACTGGAGTTGGAACTCAGGGCTTTGTACTTGCTAGGCAGGTGCTCTACCACTTGAGCCATGTCTCCAGCCCATATGGTGAATTTTTTTAATGAGTATTATTATAGTCAACTTTCAATATTCTGAAAACAATAAAATAAATAACATAAAAAGTATTAACACAAGGAGGCACAGAAAGAAATACAGCAGATTGAGGCCAGTCTGGGCAAAAAGTCAAGACCATTCTGGGTGTGGTCGTACACATCTGTAATCCCAGCTACTCAAGAGGCAAAGGAAGAAGGATTTGGGTTTGAGGTAGGCCCAGGCAAATATGACAGACCCCATCTCCAAAAAAAAAAACCAAAACCTAAAAGCAAAAGGACCAAGGGTGTGGCTCAAGTGGAAGAACACTTTCGAGGCACTGAGTTCAAGCCCCCAGTACCACAAAGAAAAAAGAAAATATTACAAAACACTTTTGCATTCTTTTAATTTGCGTTACTAATTGACTTTGTTTCCAAAGTATGCTAAAAATGCACACACATAGTTTTCAATTACATACACACTAGCTCTGCTAGTTCTAAGTAAGCAGGCTTCATACACATGTTCTGATTCTGTCTCCTCGAAAGTTCCTTTAAATGAATGTAAAACAGAAGTTGAGAAAGCAAGCCAAAGGAAAGGAAAAAAAACAAGAAAGCAAGGCATATTAATTAATGTTGATTGTAAATTATTCCAATTACACAAATTTTGTATTTCTGGACTTTTAATTCTGAAACCCTTACAAAGAAATAAGGTACATGAATGTATTTAATCTCTAATACAGGAGATGTGTCTTAAACAGATACACTAGATGATTGGATAAACTCTAATGTTCCGCTATCATATGAAAGAAAACAATCATTCCTAAACAAAGAAATGAAACCAAAAGCCAAGAACAGAAAACATCACACTTGTCACTACAGAAGTGAGGGAAATCAATTCTGAACATACCACAAGTGGGTAGTTTTGTTTTGGGTTTTTTTTGGTAGGACTGGGTTTGAACTCAGGGCTTTGCACTTGCAAAGCAGGCACTCCACCAAAAGTGAGTCACACCTCCAGTCCATTTTGCTATGGTAATTTTGGAGATGGGGAATTTTGAACTATTTGCCTGGGTTGGCCTCAACCAGCAATCCTCCTTATCTTAGCCTCCCAAGAAGCTAGGAGTGAGCCACTAGTGCCCCCAGCTTTATAAGTGGTTTTGAACTAAGTCATATTACCTATAGTAAGAGAGACAATAAAGTATAGTTAGTGGTTGTTACATATAAGCAAAGTAGGTAAGACACTATACATAAAGACTGAAATGAGATCCAAAGGGAAATGAGAACACATTTTTTACCTCAAAAACCTAAACATATACAACACTGACTCAGAACCTGTTCTCAGTTTAGATGAGAACTAACCTAAAAGCTTAGTTTGAATGTACATAGGATCATATAAAATTTTTCTCATCTAATAATTTTGAAAAATATAACAGTAACAGTTCATTTGTTTCTTATACACCTAATGTGTTTATGCAAATACAAGTATTTCTCTCCCTTTATTACATAAAAGATGCTTTTTCATTCAATACTATATCCTTGAGATATTCTCAGTAAATAGACAGTTTCCTCAATCATTTTTATGTATCCCAACAGATGGACGTCACATAGTTTTATGTTAGTTCCTAATCTTTTATTATTCCAAAACATGCTACAATGAACAACCTTGCACATCACCACCTTGTATGAAGGCAGGTATGTCTATAGCATAAGTTCCCAAAATAGGACTGCTCAATCAACAGTAATTCTGTTTGTAATTCTGAGTGAAAGAGGAAATAAGAATGTTTCTTTGCTAGGTTTCAGGTTTGAGCCTCCAGGTGGACACCAGTGATATTACTTGAAATAGGGAACAAAGGAGGAATACTGTGTTTATCAGGTAGAAAAGAGAATTTAATTCTGAACACACTATGGGACATTTGTGGTTGTGGATATAAAAATCTGAGGCTCAGGAAACAGATGACCAGAGACACAGACCTGAGAATGATCAAAGATGATAACCACTGAAATTATCAGGGAGACATGGTGGGTGGGGGTGGGGGTAAGAGAAGACCTAGAAAATAAGCCCAAAGAACATCAACTCTTCAGGGAAAAGTATCTTCCAAAGGGGACTGAGGAAGAATGGCAAAAAGAAGCATGTGTGGTTAGAAGAGGTGGGAGAAGAATGACAAATACATTGCCAGGAAGTCAAGAAAAAAATGTTTCAAGAAAGGACCTATGGTATCAAATGATACAATTGACTTACATAAGAATGGTCTTATATACTGTGAGGAGCATTAGTTCTCAATCATACTAAATTTTTATCTCCAGGGGCCAAGACTCATGTCCTTGTATTTTTTTTTTTAAGTAAATCCCTCTTAAAATTCTATGGCAGCAGATTTTTGTAACTAGGTACAAGAAACAATGATCTAGAGACACTTTGAGAAAAGGACCAAAAATTGTCCACCAGAAAAGTAAGTTAGCAACCCTGGCAAGTAGTTCCACAGTTAATAAAGGACACTGGAATCAGGCTGTTGGTTAGGAAATTAATGGGAATTAAAGAAACAGAGAAAGAAATACAACTGTTTAAAAAGTCTTGTTCAGGCCAGGCATGGTGATCCATACCTGTAATCCCAGCTACTCAGGAGGCAAAGGCAGAAGGTTCCAGAGTTTGAACACAGCCTAAATAAAAACAAAAGTGCTGGAGGTGCAGCTCAAGTGGTAGAGCACCTGCCTAGCATGTGTGAGGCCCAGGATTCAATCCCTAGCACCACAAAAAAGAAGTCTAGCTCTGACAGAAATAAATTACGATACCAGAGAGGGGAGGACAAAGGGAGAAACAACTGAACATACAAATGCTAAAGAGAAATAACTGAATATTTAAATGGCAATATCAAAAAAGATAGCGAAAAGGTTTCCAAGGCCCAGGAGAAAGGGAGCAAAGACCCCCAAGAGGAAAGAGACTCATATGAGAACACAGGAAGGAATTAAATTAAATTAGCCTTAGATGTGAGGAAGGTCATTTCCATTCTATCACAGAAAGGAAAGTGGAAAGAATGTATGCTAAGGATGGCACACTGTAGCCTGGGTCGCAGAGGTGGAGGAAGTTCCCACCTGATGGCTTCTGTTTCCTCTGTGAAGTCAAGAGGTAAGATCAGCTAATTAAGAAGGGTGAAATGAAGCTTGAAGAGAGCAGGAAGAAATGAAATAGATACTCTGGAGAAGAAGAGAGGAAAGAATGGGAGAGAAGAAAAGAGACAGACACAAGAAGAAAACAGAATTAGTAGCAGGCACCACTAAGAGCCTAATTAATTTTAAAGAGTATCATTTATATGAGTACTTGTGTGATTTTTTTTCCTCACAGCAAACGGCAACTCAGATACACGTTAGATAAGCAGACCAGTGCTTCTACGCAAAATGGAGCCTAGATTTACCTTCCTGCTTGCAATGACTGAACACCAGACAAAATATCTAAAGAAAAACAAAACAAAACAAAACAAAACTATTCATATTATATTGGACATCAGGCAAAGAAAGCCAGTGAGCCCTGAGAGATAGGAACTAAATGAGGTGAGCCCATAACTTTCCCAACTTACTGCCTAAAGAGACTTTGCAGATTGCAGTGAAGAAACAGAAACCTAGGTGACAGTCTGGCTAAGCTGAGAGGGAGCTAGAAATCCAAGGAAGCCAAAGTGCCCACAGTTTGAAGGGCAGAGTGCTAGAGGGTCAAGGCTGCCCAGAAAGACCTCTGGAAATCTGCAGAGATCCTCAGGAGTCTTCAGTGATCAGCACATGCAGATGAAGCAACTGCCCACAGAAAGAACCATCCAGAAGGATTAGAAAGAACAATTCCTGGAACCTATACAGGCAGGCAACAGCTCCTGTTCTAAGCAACCAAAGTGGAAACCTCATGGGATTTGGCCACAATATGTTTTTGGGTTGAACTATGTCCCCCTCTAAAAGACATATTGATGTCTGAACCCCCAACACATCAGAACTTGGCCTTACTTGGAACAGTTTTTATGGAGATAATCAAGCTCATGAGATCATTTAAGTAGGTCCTTATCCAATACAATGGCCCCTTACAAAAAGGAAGACAGACACTCAGAGCAAGAGAATACGAAAAAACACAGGCAGAATTCCTTGTGAAGATGGAGGATTGGAGTCACGCATCCACAAGTCAAAGAATGCCAAAGACTCCCAGCAACCACCACAACATAAGAAGAAACAAGGAAGGCTCCCCTACAGGTCTAAGAGGGAGCAGGCACTGCTGATTCTTTGATTTTTTAGCCTCCAGAACTGTGAGAAAATAACTATCTGTTGCTTTACCCATCTACACTGTGATACTTTGTTACAGGAAACTAATAGAAGTACACAGAAGAGTTTTACCTCAGTAGAGAATCAAATAGACCAAAAAAAAAAAGACATTTAAAAAGGTACTTTCACTCTGCCCAGGAAGGCTTAAAAGCAATACTAAAAATTCTTTATAAGTAATTAACTATACTCCAGAACACAGCTCAAGAGTATTTATAAGGTGGGGGGGGGGGTTATGGTGCTACATGCCTGAAATTCCAGCCACTCAGGAGTCAGAAACAGAAGGATCACAGTTCAAGGTCAGCCAAAGTTAGCAAGACCCTATCTTACAAACAAGCCAGATGTGATTGTGCACACCTGTGTTGCCCAGCTACATGGGAGATGGAGACGGGTGGATCACGGTTCGAGGCCAACCTAGGCAAAAGTTAGCAAGATTCTATCTGAAAAGCAAACTAAAATGCAAAAGGACTGGGGGCATGGCACATTCCAACAAAGAAATTAAGAAAAATCCATACAGTAACATCAAAAAGAAATACTTATAGAAAAACAAAGCAAGTGT